TACAAGATAACAAACCACCAGAGCAATCGCATGGGAGGCCATCGCCTATCCTTTGGTCATGTTCTATACTTTCACTATTATTATTATTATTATTATTACTATTGTTAATCTCAGTATCTTCTTCATATTCTATATCATCATCCTCATTTATTTTATTCTTTTCCCTGGATTGCTTCATTTTTTGTTAATAAAAACCTCTTGCAGTGGAGGCAGCAATTTCCTTTTCTTCTCTATTTCACCAAATGAAAAATTTGGAGTCTTTTATCAAATAACTTTTGAATTTCCCTACGCTAGATCAATTATTTTATCAATCTTTTGTTTTATATCATAGAGCTGATCTTTATAGGTTTGATAATATACACTCACCTGCAAAATCGTGAATACTTTTGACAGATGAGTGTAGTAAATAGTCCAATCAATAACCACAAAAATTTCACTTGTAAAGGCAAGCATTTCTATCGAGTGTTTGTAGTTTTATTTTTATATTAATAAGATTTAGATTTTGGGTTTTGTTTTGCAATTGTAAAGTAGAAATAATTTTACATAAATTTTTGGGATTGATGTTAAAAATAAATGTTAACGCGAAGGTGTAGTGAGTATGCATTGGATTAAAATGGACCTGTAACTCCGTGCGGATAGCACTTTAACAGGCAGGCTGACTCGGGGAGCTAGAAAAGAAATTGATTCCAGATAACTCAAACTCAATTACAGGGTGACATAAAATGTTCATTTTGCCAATGAACCAAGAACGATTTAATAAAACAATAGTAATAGTAAAATTTAATTTTACATTAATATGATAAAAATCTAAAATCTATCTGTGATGATGATGATAAAATAATAATACATATTACCAATTTACATATTTCTGTAAATTTTTTTCTTAAATTAAATTATTTTCCATCAACTATTATTATTAATAACTATTAAATATTAATTTTAATTATAATGGTAATATAAGTATATAAAATGTCAAATCTAAATTTACTTAACTTTAATTAATATTAATTATTAAAATCTAATTAAATAATAACTTTTGTAAAAAATTCGTTATTTGTATTGCGGAAAGTCAACAAACAAATCATCAAAAACACTTGTTTACATAAGAATAAATGATAATAATAAAAATATAAATAGTTAATTTGAAGAATTCGAAAAAAAAAAAGATTTTTC